GGGCTCTGCTCCCCCCCGATCCCTCCACCGGCCAAAAAGGCTTATTCCCGGCTGCTTAGTTCCACTGGCAAATTGCAAAAGCATCTTGGAGTTAAGGAAATAACACGAAACCCACCTGGCAGCTGAGCGCTGGCACTGCAGGGGTGCAGCAGACCCCACTCCGATTGATTCTGTGGCCAGGACATCACTTTGCTGCTGGTGCTGCTGCCCAAACTGCCAGTTCTTTTGCAGTGTTGCTCAAAACACCCCCCACGGCAGGGGTTGGAACTGGATGATCTTAAGATCCTTTCCAATCCAAACCATTCTGTGATTCTGTGATTCTAAACCCCTGGGCATGGCTGTTTCCAGCCCAGCCCATGTCAACCCTCCTTGGAGCAATGAGGCTTCGCCCCTACGGGGATGTCCTGCCCACACAGTCCAAATCCTTGATGCAAAGAGGTGAAGCCAAGAGAAGTCCAAAACATCCTAGGAACAGGGACAGTGGAAGCAAACATGCTGAAGCTGGGGTGTCCCTAAGCCCCTTGGCCAGCTCGGCACAGGCCTCCCTTAGGCTGTTTCAGTATTTGGGGGCTATCAGGCACTTCAGCCTTTTCCATGGAGGCACTTCCCACTCCCAGGACATTTGGGCAGGTACAGGGATGGGGAGCACCACTTGGAGCAGCTGCTCGTGTGGGAGCAGCCATGGATAGGGAGAGGCTCCTCTCTCATGTGTTATCAGAAACGCAACAGAAGATTCCATTTCTGCCCTCCCTCCTCCTTTCCTCCCCAGGCAGCAGCTCCACAGAGACGTGAGGAGGAACCAGCCGGGCAGTTTTAATATTTAAATCACCGTGTTTTCTGTAGGGTTCTGCTCACTCCCAGGTTCAAGTGGTTTTTTGAAGCAGAGCTGCTCTGTTTCATTATTTACGCCGGTGCTGCCTGTGCGCTCGCTATCGTTCAGCACCAACCTCAAGAGCAGATGATAATAGGATTGTAAACTTTTGAAGTTAATAGGAAAATTATAGTGCTTCCGTGTATTATTATAATGCAATAAGCTGCCACATAGTGTCTCTCACCCTGCAGGGTATCACGGCTTGTCACCCAGCCTATGAAGGTAATGATTAAAGCCCCATGAAATTCACAGTGTCACAAAAGTCTTAAGAAGCGTGAAATTCTCAGTTTTCCATTAAAAAATAATAATAATAAAAAAAATTGCATTTTGACATAGTTTGAAGAGAGACCTGTGAATTCCAGATTTGCTGCAGTGGCACAAAGGTCTCATGCAGACAAGCTCACCTCGTGTGGGAGCTAAAACCCCCCAAAATCGTGAGAAAACCAGTTCCTTTGGTGCCTCTTCTGCTGAAAAATGGTCCAAGGGACATTTCCAAAAGTGCCCATAGGGTCCCAGAGGCGGCTTTGGGGGCTCTGTGTATGGATCCCACACCCTTGCAAGTGTAGCTGTGCAGGATGGGTCCCAGGAGGGGTGAGGGCAGGGCTTTGCTGTGGGGCTGGACGAGGTGCCAGCACAGCCGAGGAAGCTGTGAAATTAAAAAGCTTTTGGTGAGCTCCTCTTCTAGCTAATGAGCCTGGAGATGTGAGGAGGATAAAGGCACTGCGTGCCTGTATTCCCATTCCCAGCATCACCTTTAATGCATGATTAAGTGAGCGGGGCTGTTAGAAGCCTTAGAACAGATCAGTTCAAACAAATACAGAGGCAAGGAGGGAAATGTGCCGGTTGTCCTGATAAACCCCTCACACCCCAGTGCTCCTTCTGGCACAGCCTCTGCATCCTGCATCTGCATCCCACATCTGCATCCCACATCCCTCCTGTTGCCCCTTTCAGATCAAGCTGAAGGAGATTTTCGAGACGCTCTCTGAGATCGCGCTCATCCTGGAGCTGGTCACGGGAGGAGAGCTCTTTGACAGGTACACCCAGCCCCATCATCCCCATCCTGGCTCCTAATGGAGGGGGATGAATCCCACCCTGATGACGGGGGGAGGGTGAGGATGGAGGGGGCTGATGCACACCATGGTCAGGGGGCAGAGGGTGAGGGGGCTCCATGGGGGCAGGGTGCCACTGTACTGACCCAGTGTGCCTGCAGGATCGTGGAGAGGGGCTTCTACAGCGAGCGGGATGCAGCGCACGTGGTCAAGCAGATCCTGGAAGCCGTTTCGGTGAGGTGCCCCCTGTACATGGGTCAGGGTTGTCACTGTGGGGGCTGCACCCTCCCAAATACTCCCAGGGAGAGGCATTTTGCCCGCTCACCCTTGGTGCTCCAAAGGTGTTGCTGGTGGAGGGGCCTCTTCCAATCCACATTTGGAGGGATGAAGGAGGAGGGAGGAAGGTCAGCGCTGCTCTGCATCACGGGGCTGCTGGAGATGGGGTTTCTATAGCAACAGGAGGGTTTAAAAATGGAAACTCACAATGGGAAGTGTCCTTCCCATGCCCCGCAGCAGCTCCGGCACTGCAGGCATTGGGTGTTTCCAAAGGACAAGGCAGACGAGTTGGTGCCGTGTTTGTGCCGCGTCCCCCCCCAGTCACTGTCCAAGGCAGATGGGGATTCCCTGCCCCTTCCCTCCCTTACCACATCCCTGCTTTTTCTCTCTGTAGTATTTGCATGAAAACGGGGTCGTCCACCGTGACCTGAAGCCAGAGAACCTGCTCTACGCCGACCTGTCCCCTGATGCTCCCCTTAAAATCGGTGGGTTTGCCGGGGGGGTTTGTGGCACAAAGAGGAGTTAACAGTGCCTCCCCTGACGGCAGCGCTGCACACTCTATGTCCCTCAAGGTGACTTCGGGCTCTCCAAGATTGTGGATGAACAGGACACCATGAAAACCGTCTGTGGGACGCCGGGATACTGCGGTGAGCAGGAGGGAAGAGCCGGGGAAGCGGGAGGGAGACCCGGGGGGCTGCTCCCTGCTGCTCAGTACACAGCTTGCTGATGGCTACAGCAGCATCAAGAGGTGCTAACGGTACCCAGGAGGTGTTTTCTCTGCGGGGAGCTCCCCACACGTGTGCATCTAAACCTCAAACTCTGCTTCCAGCCCCTGAAATCCTCCATGGGTGCCCATACGGCCCTGAAGTGGATATGTGGTCCGTGGGTGTCATCACCTACATCCTGTGAGTAAGCTGAGGGTGGTGAAACCGCGGCAGTGGAACCACTGGTTGCTCCACCTCAGCCCACTGTGAGCAGCTGGCAAACGCCGGCCTGGCTGTGCCGTCGGGCCCGGGTGGCAGCGTGTAGCTCCTCTCTCATGTGCTCACAGGCTTTGTGGCTTCGAGCCCTTCTTCGACCCGCGGGGGGACCAGTACATGTACAGCCGCATCCTCACCTGCGACTACGAGTTCGTGTCCCCGTGGTGGGACGAGGTTTCCCTCAACGCCAAGGATTTGGTGAGTGAGGCAGTGCCAGGACTCAGGGCTGCTGAGTGTGAAGGCTTCAGATCAGTGCTTGTGGAATAACAAAACCAGGGGCTTTTGAGGAAATGAAGCCTTTTCATTGGTTACAGGTCAGAAAATTAATCGTCTTGGACCCCCAGAAGAGACTGACTGTTCACCAGGCTCTGGAGCATCCCTGGGTCACAGGGAAAGCGGCTAAATTTGCTCACATGGACAGCACGCAAAAGAAACTGCAGGAATTTAACGCCAGGAGAAAACTGAAGGTAAAGGTGAAAAAGCCCCATTAAACCCCGAGGGTGGCTCGTGTTCGTGTTCCCTTTGTGCAAACAACTGGGGCTATCAGAGCTGCTGTCTCTGGGGTTTAAGGATCCCCTGCCTTGTGCAGATAAATGTTCAGTGACACGTGGCAGCTCAGGGGATGAAGGATGATAGAGCAAAAAGGAAAAGCCCTGCCTGAAGCAAAGGGCTGGGCTGGAGAAGCGGGTGCCATCGCTCTCTCTGCATGCTCCCGCGGGGATCAAGCATCTCGGGAAAGGCACGGAAGGGGAAAAGTCTGCCTAAGACATGCTGCTAACTGCTCACACCACTGTGCCTTTGCAACAGGCTGCAATGAAAGCCGTGGTGGCTTCCAGCCGCTTGGGCAACCATGGTCACCACGACTGCTCCCGCGGCGGGCGCAGCCAGAGAGGTCCCCGGGGCACCCACCTGCCCCAGGGGACAGGGACCGCTGGCCCCGAAGCCACCGCCACCACCGAGGACCTCGAAGCTTTCCAGAGCGACTGCGCCGCCGTGTCCAAGGTTCCTGTGAGCAGCGCCAGCTGCCAGAGCTAACGTGCCCGGCACTGGTGCCGGCTCACCGTGGCCTCCACAAGCAGCGCCCCGCTGACCCTTGGAAGCTGGCACAGGGGAGAGGTGGGGGAAGCCGTGGGGACAGGAGTGCCCCAAGTGTCAGTGTGTGTCGGGAGCCCGTGGTCTGTGGTGTGGAGCGTCCTTATTTAGTGTCCTGTTGCCAGTGCAGTTGTACCTGGTCGCTGTGAGTGTGTGTCTGTACGGACCCGACTGAGGAAAACGAGGCTGGTGACTCTGTCTTCCAACAAACTAACAGTTTTGGCCACTGTGGCTTGAAAAGATCCCAAGTGGCTTAAAAACCAAGGAGAGAACAGCAGAAAAAGGATTTCTTTCACCTTACCTACAAAGGCAGGAAGTTGTCTTTACCACAGAGTTTTGTAAGTTCCTGTAAATAGTCCTTAAGGGTTTCTTTTGGGAGTGGGTGCATTTGGGTTATCGCTGCCCATCCACGTCCATCTACAGTCGCTGTTACCAGACACAGCTGTAGGTTTACTGCTGTTACTAGACAAGGTTCGTAGGAGCCTTTGGACCCAGCTGATTGATCCTATCTGAAGAAAAAATGTTTGTGAGTGGTTCCTTTCTTATCTCTAGATGGTAGACAAACTCCGACTTGTGCTTTTGTTCCACTCCAGCTTCATTTGTTCCCACGTTCAGTCTTGCTGTGGGTACATGATGGTGGTAGGATTGTCCCAAACTGGGAATGCGGCTTGTCTGGCATCTTCCTTGGTATTCCAGGTTACCATCCACATGAGTTTTAACAAAGAACAATGCAGCTCTTTCTACAGCACGTTGTAAGACTTTGTAACCTGTAACGGTGCTGTTGTTTCCTGAGGGAGGACAATGAGTTTATACGTATTGGGGTAGTTTTTTTAAGTCTAATGACATCACTTGACAAATTTATTGAAAAGACTTTTTTCAGGCAGTTATTTACCAAGCCACAGGATAAGCATTTGCAGATTTTAATACAGAACAAGTAATCAGACAGGAAAAGCCATATCGCACGTGGGGGATGCCAAAAGCCAGCGCGGGGTTTCCTGACCTGAGGTGCTGCCTCAACCCACACCCCCGGCCGTTTGGGCCACGCACTTAGAGCAAAAAACCTCAGAGAACAGAATTTGTGCACAAAGTCTGTTTTTCCAGCGTGGGGACACAGCAGCTGACGAGGGAGAGGTGGCAAACACAACCTGAGGTTTTGGTGATGCAGAACCCGGCCTGGCGTGGGGCAGGGCTGCAATGGCAGCGAAGGCAAATGTGACACAAAGACCTTTGTGTTGATGCACAGCACACGCAGAAACCATAAAGATTACTTGTAAGGGCTGATCCATACCACATGACATTTATCTATGTCTAGGATGCTTGTAAAGCTGAATGCAGAGATCAGATGTTCAAAAGGGTTTTTAATTAGAGAAATATCAGGTCTCGACCAGAAATGTGCTTTTATTTTTTATGAACTCACAGTCATACCTTCAGTGGGGAAGCAGAGGAACAGCAAGAGAGAAATGATCGCTGACAACATGGGAGAGAGCTTCGGCAGGGGAAAAATCACTTCTGTGTGTTTTGCAGGGGGGGCAGTTTGTTTTCTCTCTTTACTATAGAGGGCTGAACCTTGCAGCACACTCAACTCTGCTCTTTATCCCAACCTTTGGGTGACACTCTGTCCTTCAGACTCCATGATGTGTCCCCGTTTACCCCAGTGGGGCCAGAACTCCACCTTTACCGTGTTGTTCACTAACCTGGGTCTTAAAATTTCACTATTTGCTACCCTCTGACATGAAATACGTATTTAAACGCCTTGCAGGACCAGGCCAGAGTGCTCAGCATGCCCACCAGAAGCGATGCTGGGAAACATAGTGTCGTAGTGCCACAGAGCGCTCCTGATGCTACAAAATAATGGGAATTAAGGTATCAACTAGGTAACAGCAAGTAACAAGTGTCTTCAGTGATGGAAGCCACTGGAGGGAAAACTGTAAGCAAAGAAAAGGAGTTTGCCTCTTCTGTTTCACAGTGTTATTCCACAAGTATCAGTACTCAAAGGTAGTAAGAAAATAAGAAGTGCTCCAGGGAGTAAAGCCAATTTTGGTCTGTAGCTGTTTCCAGGATGTGTTTTACTAACTGAATACTTCAGTGTAGTGGTGACATTTCTGATATCGCAGGTATTTATAAAGAAGTAGAGACAGCCAATAAAGTATCCAACATCATCGCCTGGGCTCCCTGTTCCTCTTGTCCTCAGGAGGGCTCGGAGCCGAGCGGACCAACCAGCACCTCCCTGAGGCCGTTTGGGCTTTAATTCTCCCTGCTTTTTTTAACCCGTTTTCCTGTCACAACTGATTCTCCGCCTCTGGACAACTGAACACTGGCTCCACCCGTGGATCTCCGGGGGGGACGCGGGTTTGTCGCAGCACCACGGGGCTGACGCGAT